ATAATTTGGTAATGGTAACTTCTCCCTTATAGGAAATGATAGTGCCAAACTCAAACTGAGTTCTTGTATTTCTAAATGTTAACAAAATGCCATTATGCCCTGTACCAAGTACTTTTACACAAAAATTAGTGAGACTCCCTACTCACAAGGAGGTTGAAACAATTTTTAATTCAATATTTAGACTGATCGCATACTTAATTTAAGCGTGAAAGTACACAGAAGTAGAAAACATCATCCTTGGCTTTGAAGAAATCTCAAAGGTTTACAGCAGTTAAAAAAAGCAAGACTTAAGGGAACAGAAAGTAAGCCTGAAGGTCAGGAGCCATGTCTTATCATGTCTTACGGTATTTATAGCTGGTACAACTAGAAGGTAATGTTCGGTCGGTAAATATTTGTTGGTTGACTAAATGTATTGATCAAACCTTCTAGACAGGAAATAATATTAGATCCCATTCATTTTCCCCAGGAGCTAAACTTTTGTCTGTGACCAAAGAATCAGCCAAATCATCAAATAGGTCTTATACAATGTAACCAAGAAAGTTCAGGCACCACTTCTGGGCTACACCTATGACTAAACGTATTTCACAGAAAAATAAAAAATTTTAACTACATTCTATTACAAAGCTGCCAAAAGGTTATGAAACAATTTCCAGAACTGAATCCAATCCAAATGCTACAAAATATAACTATCATTCACTCTTGTTTTATTCTGAATTGAACACATCCTCTGCTTCTATAATAAATAATTGTTCATAACATTTCTCATTGGTAGTGCTTTTTTTTGTGTGTTGTTTCCTTTAGCTATCTTATCAATACACTTTTCTTAAGGTCTTTTATTTTTATATATTTTTTAGTATCATTCTTGACTTTGAGGTCTTTTATTTTTTAATATTAACAATCACTTATCTGCCACATATAACACTAAGGGAGAACAAAACGTGAATGAGAGTACAAAAATAAACTCGGTTTACAAAGTACAATTTTATATCCTGCCACACACAACTTCATTCCAGAGTCTGCATGCCCTATTGTCCAATCTATTCAGTGACAAGACATTAGCACTGGAGCCCCAAGGACTGCAACTTTTGTTGGCAAAAGCCTTGCATGGGTCAAAATAATTTTTCAACCTTTGATTAAAAAAAGCCCAAAAAGGACCAAGCTTAAAATTTTAGTGGGTGGTTGCATGTTAGATATGTTTAGCCCTAAACTCAAATAAAAAGGGAAGCTGACAGTAAACTAGTCAATGCAAAGAACTTACAAAAGCATAAGCCCAGAAATTACATGCAATGCCTAGTCTATAAAATACCAAGGAGGCATTACTGTTTACACCAGAGCGACAGGGCTTTCTTGAGCGGTTATATATACCAAAGGTTTAGTACAGTTAAAGAAGTCTGTCATAAATTGCCTCAATATGCCATAAACGTGGATATATTCTAGGTTAAATTATGTGGGTACTACAGAAAGAGACGTGAGAGAAACTAGTACAATGCCTGCACATTGTCGCATCTGACAGTAGGAAATAAACAGCCAGTTATGAAACAAACTCAATTCTTAATGCTGGAAACAGAATAAGGCTCCATTCATTTTGGAGAATAAAGACACTAATCATTTAAAACAGATGGACTTTGCACCAACAATGTGAATATGCTTTACAGAACTGTACACTTAAAAAGGGTTAAGATGTTAAATTTTATGTTATATGTTTTGGAAAGGGTGAATTGTTGGGTTTTCTGTTTTTTAAACAGAGACAGTGTCACCTATGCTGGAGTGCAATGGCCCAATCATAGCTCGCTGCATCCTTCAACTCCTGGGCTCAAGCGATCCTCTCACCTCAGCCTTCCTAGTAGCTGGGACTACAGGTGTGTGCCACCAAGCCCAGAAAATTAAAAAAAATTTTTTTTGGTAGAGATGGGGTCTTGCTATATTTCCCAGGCTGGTCTCAACTCCTGGCCTCAGGTAATCCTTCTGCCTCAGCTTCCCAAAGTGCTGTGATTACAGGTGTGAGCCACTGCACCCGGCTATATTACCTGATTTTTAACAATTAAAAGAAAAAAAACCCCTTTAAATTAGCTTTAAATTTCCCTTGAATTTTTAAATGAATAGATATATGAGTTATTGACTACCTACCATATATACCTGTTACCATGGAGATGGAGATAAAATATGGATAAGACCTAATTCCTCTTTTCAAGAAGCTCAAAGTTTAAAGAGAACCAAAATTCTAAACTTTTTTTTTTTTTTTTTTTTTGAGACAGGGCCTCACTCTGTCACCCAGGCTGGAGTGCAGGGTGCGATCACAGCTGACTGCAGCCTCGACCTTCTGGGCTCAAGCAATCCTCCTACCTCAAACCTCTTGAGTAACTGGGACCACAGGCATGGACTACCACACCTATTTTTTTTTTTTTTTTTTTTTTTGCCAGGGGGTGCAGGGAAAGACAGAGATCATGTCTATGTTGCCTAGCCTGTTCTCAAACTCCTGGGTTCAAGTGATCCTCCTGCCTCAACCTCCCAAAGTGCTAAGATTACAGGCATGAGTCACAGCACCCTACCTAAAATCTCCTTAAAAACAAAAATTGATAATAATTTTGGATCACCCAAAGGAGGTGAGTAAGCAGCCATCTACCTATCCTTTCTTAAATACATTACCTATCTCTTCCCCCTCCTTTCTCTCTGCAGGCTCTAACTGTATTTTACTTTACTATTTTTTCTTTTCTTCTTTTTTTTTTTTTTTTTGAGATGGAGTCTTGCTCTGTCACCCAGGCTGTAGTGCAGTGCTGTGATCTCGACTCACTGCAAACTCCGCCTCCTGGATTCAAGCGATTCTCCTGCCTCAGCCTCCTGAGTAGCTGGGATTACAGATTTGTGCCACACCCATAATTTTTGTATTTATGGTAGAGATGGCAGTTGCGGGGGCGGGGAGGGGGAGGCGGTTCAGCATGTAGACCAGGCTGGTCTCAAACTCCTGACCTTGTGATCCACCCTCCTCAGCCTCCCAAAGTGCTGGGATTACAGGCATGAGCCGCTGTGCCCGGCCTCTAGTTGTACTTTAAAGTCTCTGATGCTTAACATGAAAAATTCTGGGATTCAAACAGATTTGCTAGCCACTATCAAATGGCCGCACCTTGTGTGCCTGAACAATTGCTCCTGGGCATCCTTGAACAGAAGAGGTATTTCAAATTAGAGGGAAGAGCAAATCTAGTCTTCTGGCCTTCTCCTAAAGCAATCACCTCCATTCAATTCAATTCAACACTTAAAACTATGCAAACCACTGGGACAAATTCGTCAAAAAGCTTTCTGGGCTCTGATAAAACCTGTGGTCTATGCCCTATGAGTTACTCTTAATCAGAGTATTCTTTGTATTGTTTGCAAAGAGTTCTTTCTTGTGCCACTGGAAAAAAAGTTTAAAAATAATGAAATCTTCCTATCTGCCCAAAAGAACAGGTTAATGCTTAGTAATTCTGCTACTGAATGAAATATATTTCATTAAAATATATTTATTGAGCATCTCCCATGTGTCACCAATGAACAGATTTGTAGAAGTAGAATTTAAAATTAAAGGTTTTAATAATGGAATCATTCTATTTCAAGCCCTGTCCTCTTGATTTCGCTCTCTTTTATTAATTTATTCTTTTTTAAAAAAAACCAAGGTGGGGTCTCGCTATGTCACCCAGGCTAATCTTGAACAACTGGCCTCAAACAATCCTACAGCCTTAACCTCCCAAACTGCTGGGATTACAGGAATGAGCCATTATACCTGTCATTGTGTTCCTCTCAACACACTCGAGCTGATAAGACTTTGGCATTCAAACTATGAAAATCCATTTCCAAAATTCAAAGAATTAGTTAACAGTAGCACACATCTCCCCAAAGATGCCCTTATACAATAAGCTTCTGCATGATCAGATGTAGAGGCACAATGATTCCTATTTCTTTTTTTTTTTTAGACGGAGTCTCACTCTGTCACCCAGACTGGAGTGCAGTGGCGCAATCTCAGTTCACTGCAACCTCCACCTCCCGGGTTCAGGCAATTCTCTCCCTCAGCCCCGAGCTGGGACTACAAGCATGCATCACCACATCCAGCTAATTTTCATATTTTTAGTTCCAACAGGGTTTCGCCATCTTGGCCAGGCTGGTCTTGAACTCCTGACCTCATGATCCACCTGCCTTGGCCTCCCAAAAGTGCTGGGATTATAGGCATGAGCCACAGTGCTTGGCCAATTCCCATAATTTCTGAGGTAGCATTCATATCACATCTGCAAAGAACAAACAGTATCTCTTGAATCTGAGAGAGCTAAAAAATGAACGCAGTTGGTTGGTTTCCAACCAGTGAGAACTCAGAAGACAAAATATTAGTATTTTTTTTTTAGATCCAAATGACTGGTATAAATACAGTAACAAATGCAATGGAAACTTTAAACCATACATTTTCTATACCTTTATAGGAACTGAGAACTGTTCTGCTCAGAGAGCCCTAAGAAACCTCCGCTTTCATTTTATGTTTCATGGGGGTTAATTTTTCTTTCTACCACTACATAGATTTCTTATCACACAGCAAGAGCCAGGGCACAACTTTAGGGTGAATTTAAAAGGACAAAAATTAAATTCTGCTGCTGAATGATTCTCTTTATAATACTGAAGCCACAACACAACATTACTAAATAGCACAAAGAAAGCACACTCTGATATTCTGCATTCCTTTTACTCCACCCACCCATCACCTCCATCATAAAAAAAAAAAAAATTAAAACAGTCTGGGCCACACAGTATGTTTGACTTGAAAGTTTCGATGACACAGCAGCTTACTCTTGCAAATTATTGGCATATATAGAGGCTTAACAGTGACTTAAAATACAGTTATAGGAAAAATAGACTATTCTAAGGGGAAAAGGCAGTGGGGGAACCCAAGCACTTTTTAAAAAAACATAACAAATATATTCAGGTACAAGACCCACATCAGAAACAGTTTTCTTTCTTTTTCTTTGGTAAATGTAAACACTTACCCTGAAGAGATTTTCCCAATCCCTGGCCCAGCTTCCACCCATGTTTCTGGAGTAAGCGGTGTCCAATATTATCCTGACAGATAGAACAGAAAGACAAACCAAAAATATTCCAATAATATATTCTTCCCTTCCTAGAGACATTAAAACAGATGATGAGCAAGAGATAATTCTACATATATGCATGCAAAAAGGTGCTAATAATAGAGTAAATGTGCCCAATAAGAGGGACATTAATGTAAAAAGAAAAGCTGGCTAGTATTTTATATGGGAAAACATATGGGGTACGGGTCCTTTCTGATGGTGTGCTGGGCAACTTTTGCACATAACATTTTAAAATGGAGAAAAAGGGGAAAGGGAAAAGGGGAAGAATACATTTATGAAGTTTTAAAATAACATTAAAAAGCATAAAATCAAGGTACTTATACAGTCATATCCACCACCTAAACAGCACCACTTTAAGTTTTGTGTTTTTTTTTTTTTGTTTTTTAAGAAAATCTACATTGTGTTTAGTTGTTTTGTTTATGTGTCAGGCTTTCATGATACAAAGTAAGTTGTAAGTGTAAGACTGCCCCACCACTAGAAATGAAAAAACAATCAGAGCAAAATCCAGGCTAGACTTGATTGGTTTAAAAAATAATAATATATATAATATAAATATTTAACTAGCATGCAGCCAATATTAAACTGAAAAAACAGTGAGGTTAGTAAAACAAGAAATTAAGTTGATTAAACAGAAAAATAAAATGAGCTCAAGCACAGACTGAGTGATGCATTTCAACATGTAGTCTAACAAAAATGCTAAGATGTTAGAATGAAACAGGCCTAGCAATAAGTTAACAGTAAAGAACCATTAGTGCATGTAGGGGGAGAAACCAACATACATAATGTCTCATCTTCTCAGGAGCACACTGGAAAAGGTATTTCAATGTAAACTGCATGAAAAAAATGCTAGAAACAACAATTAAATGTCAGCTTTTGTTTAAGGGGTCAAGCTATTGGAAACATCTGCAGCTATGTCCAGTTCTTTACTTTTTATAGTTACTGTGAAGTACTAAGACAAGGCTAAAATAAACACTAACTGTACCTGAAAAAATGATGCTATTCATCCAAAGGACAACACTGAAAAATTCTAAACACAAAGTATTCTATATATATTAAAATGTAATTTATAGTAATTAATCTAGAAAAGATTCAAAGTTGCAATATAAGTAATGTTAGCAGAAAACAAAGGTAAACCATTTGAAAATCTTCCTGATTTTTGAAATCAATTTATTTCTTGAAATCAATTTATCAAGCTTACCAAACCACAAATTTCTGCATTAAAACCAAATATTGTACATTAAACTGTCTTATATCTCCACATTCAATGATAAAATGCTCTGTGAGGAAAGAAAAACATTTTTTTTTACTGTTATCTTCTCTAACTAGAAGTTAGAAGAAGATTAAGGCTTCCAAATGCTCTAGGTTTTTTTTTGTTTGTTTGTTTTTTTAAGGACAATTTTCTTCTACAAGTTTATGATAGCATGCAACCTGGAAAACTGGGTTAAACAGCTGATTATTTCATTGATGTCATTGATGGGGCAAAACCAGGACCTTTTTTTTTTTTTGATACAGGGTCTTACTCTGTTCCCCAGGCTGGTGTACAGTGGTAAAATTCTCCGGGGCTCAGGCAATCCTCCTCCCTCAGCCTCACAAGTAGCTGGGACTATATGGGCACACACCACTGTGCCTGGATAATTTTTTAAATTTTTGTAGAGTCAAGGTTTCACTATGTTGCCCAGGATGATCTAGAACTCCTGGGCTCAAGCAATCCTCCCTCCTCAGACTTTCAGAGTCCTGGGATTACAGGCATCAACCCAGGATACTTTTTTAAAAACAAAAACTGGAGGCAAATTATAATGGAAAATTGGTTTGTAAAACAAAACATACATTGTTTTAAATATACATATAAAATCATTATGGTGTACAAAGTTTGCTGCAAGTTATTTTTGTGTCATACAATCTGAAAGAATTAGAAACACTACTGATTCCAAGGGATGACTTCCACATTACTACACATCACAAAAGCTTAATACAACACTACTGCTGCTGAGGCTTCTTCCCTTCTCCCCCACTAACTGAACTGTCAGGAAAAGCATTCCCTTACCCAGTGCTCAGTGTCTATTTATAACTTTATTACCTCCTAAAAAAGAAAAGATTAAAAATCTCAATATAAGTAATGTTAGCAGAAAACAAAGGTAAACAGGCCCTTATATTGCTACTAACTTACCTGTGCAGAAAATCCTTATTTCATATCATAATTCCTACAACTGAATAATTCTAGAAAGGACAACAATGGCAGAATGACTCTGAGAGTATACGGTTTATTAAGTAATTGTTTAATCTCTTAATAGACGCATGTTGTAACTATATTTGGCACCAAAATTTAGGTATTAAACAATGCTGACAAAAATTGTTGCTCCCCCCCCCCATTTTGTTGTTTTTTAAAGAAAACTCAATCTTTGGCTAAGTGGAGATGAGACATTATGCTGACTGTGTTATATTATGAATGCACTAAAATAAACAGACAGATGAAGCAGTATGCTATTTCCAAAAGCAGTGCAAGTGGAGTGAAAGCATTTCCATACGAACCTGGCTTTAAAAACTGGGCTGTCAAAAGAACAGTTAAATGTAACACAAAGTAAGAAACTGTCCAATCACTAATGGTCGTTTTTTTTTTTTTTTTGTCTTGTTTTCAATTCACTGCTTGCAAGTAATGTATTTATTAAAGAGTGAAAGCATAAGTAAATTCACGAGTCAAGACCAGCTGAGAGATTCAAGAGCAGCGTGTTGTGACTGACAACAGTGAAAGGAAAAGCAAATGTTAAAGGGAGAGGGAGAAAAAAAGAAAAAAATTAAGGTTATACACATTAGCACCACTTTTACAAAACCACTCAAGAGGATGGCTGTCACCTTCTCAGAAAAAAATTATTGACAGAATATGGTAGTGGCATTTCTCTTCTAAAACTTTAGGTTAAAACCGTTCTTTAATTAAATCCACTTTCTCAGGGACTGTAATAAAATATTTAACACACCACTTTAAGTCCTTCCAATCACAACAAAGGCAACAGAAACAATAGACACAACTCCCAGACTCTCCTTCCCTCACCAACCTCCTGGGGTAAATAAATGACCAACACAGAAAATCTGGACCCTTCCTATCATTTCAAACTACCTGTTTTTGTAGGAAAAAGGGCAGCTCTGTGACTCTGCAGAAAGGGCTAGCATTCAGTATGGTCCCTCTTCCTAAGAAAAAAGGTTTTATAAACACTCATCAAAAATCCAATAGGCTTAAGGATGATGGGTAACACAAGGAGGCACAACAAAATAATTTGTAACAAAGTAAAACAAACCAGACTTGTCTGCCTTTGAAATGATCAAAACTTTCTCTGTGAAAAGAACAAGAAATCCAATAACCAGTCTGTGGGAAACAAGCAATCTATTCTCTCTGTTTAGGACTGTGATTTTTGCCAATTATTTCCATGGATGCTTTTTTTTTTTTCTCTTCTTCTTCTTCTTTTTTTTTTTTTTTTTAGAGACGGAGTCTCACTCTGTAGCTCAGACTGGAATGCAGTGATGCAATCTCAGCTCACTATAACTTCTACCTCCTGACTAGCTGGGACTATAGATGTGTATCACCACACCAGGCCAATTTTTTTTTGTATTGTTAGTACAGACAGGGTTTCACCATGTTGGCCAGGCTGGTCTCAAACTCCTGACCTCAAGTGATCTGCCTGCCTTGGCCTCCCAAAGTGTTGGGATTACAGGCATAAGCCACCATGCCTGGCCCATGAATGCTATTTATAACATTAAGTTGGCACGAGTAGCTTATGGCTGAAACAGGTAATCTAGACAGAACAAGGGAAATAAATACTAAATTTTTTTGTTCCTTTTCTTTTTATTTATTTTTTTTTTGAGACAGGGTCTTACTCTGTCACCCAGGCTGGGGTGAAGTGGCACAGTCACAGCTCACTGGATCCTTGACCTGCAGGCTCAAGTGATAGTCCCACCTTGGCCTCCCAAAGTGTTGGGATTACAGGTGTGAGCCACCATGCCCAGTCAATTTATTTCCAAAGTAATTATTTTTAAAAATAATTTTTTAAAAAGTAACTCTTTAATTTCAATTACTATAATAATGACTAAAAATCTTTTGACTTTTGTTTCTTAAATAAAATATATAATTTGGGATTTAATTATAATCTCATAGAACCAAAAATAAATTACAGAAATTTTTTTCTTTGTAAAAACTGGTTAACAACTAACAAAGTTGCACGATACAGGTAGGCTGCTTATATATTTTTTTCTTCTCAAGTCAACTTGATATAATTTAAATGTTGATGGGAGAATTGCAAATAACTTATTTATTACGTAGAAAAGCTGGTTTTCTACATAATTATGCATTCTCACAAACCACCTATTTGTTTTCTTTCTCTGCTCAAGACCCCAAAATGGTGGTTGTGTGGCTTGTTCTTTGGTTGGAAATGAAGTTCTTCTAATTCTGATTAAACCATGAAGCTAAGCTGAAAACTCAAACTTTATCACCTTTTCTCCCCCTGTTCCTACACATAAATATATCATTAAAATGCTGCATTTTTTATCATTTGTTCTTCTCTAATAAACACGTGAGAAAAGAGATATAATTTTTAAACAGGAAGATCTTTGAAAATGAGAAATCTGTATTATAAACAACTACCAATATGCTAAAAACACAATACCAGCAATTTAAAAATACTTCACTATTAACTGTTTTACACATTCCTCAACATTTTTATTTGTTAATTAAATACCAAGTAGAAACTTTCTGCTCCATGAAGCTGTATGCCACCATGGTTAACAACGATCATTTTGGCAACAGCATCACCAATGTACATGATGGGAGGCTGCCAAAATACAAGAAAAAATTTACTTTTCTGTATAAAGCTGGCTGCAAGTTTTAGAGTAGGAAACAGCCTATTATGTCTAAAGAGAAAACTATGCTACAGGTATGTCCATGACTGGATGAATATTAATTCTATATTCAATTTTGTTTTAGTTGACAGCCACATTTAATTTATATCATTTAGTCCAATTTCAAGTGACAAAACAGTAAGTCTCTTGAGTGGATTGTAAGCTTTGCTGATTGTGTATTAAAGATATAAGCAAGAACCAACGCTACTAGGTGAACCCATGCAAACAAGTTGTAAAAATTCCCAAAACAAAAAAATCTATAGCTCACTACAGATGACACAATGAAGACTAGAGAGAAAAGCTATATAGTAATGCTACACCATTCAGCTCCAAGAAGCACATTATTTATAGTGCAGTCCACATATGGTCACTGCTAAATGTCAAATCAGCAGTCTTATAGAGTTACAGTTTGGAACTAGTGGAGTCCACAGATCTAGACAGATATGCAACATGACAAAACCCAATTATACATATACTTCCAAATCCTTAAGATGTACAAATGAAACATCAGCAACTGGAGCTTGAAGCTTACACTAATTTTTAAACCTGTTAGGTCATCCTGACAACCATAAAGAAAGAATTTTAATCAGTCAGGTAGAGCAAGGACCAACTAATGGCTGATGGGTAGTTGCACTTCCAATCACAACAGTAACAACATCTTTTAAGTCTATGATGCAGGCACTTTGTCTTCTACATAGCTTAAGGTCATTCTCCAGTCTGATTCCTCATATTCTTCTTTTTTTTTTTTGAGATAGAGTCTTGCTCTGTTTCCCAGGCTGAAGTGCAATGGCACAATCTCGGCTCACTGCAACCTCTGCTTCCCCAGTTCAAGCAAATTCTCCTGCCTCAGTCTCCTGAGTAGCTGGGATTGCAGGCACACGCTACCACGCTGGGCTAACTTTTGTATTTTTAGTAGAGACAGGGTTTTACCATGTTGGTCAGGCTGGTCTTGAACTCCTGACCTCGTGATCCGCCCCCACAGGCCTCCCAAAGTGCTGGGATTACAGGTGTGAGCCACCATGCCTGGCCTGATTCCTCAGCTTCTAACTATGATAAAGGCCACAAAGGACCATATATCCTAAATAACACCAACTAATTCTTCTGTGATAGAATCCTAGACAGAGCTATGGCTTTAGATCAAGTTTTGTTTTCTAAATATTTTGTCTTTAAATACGTGGAGGTTATAACATTTGGGACCTAAATATCTCATAAAGCAATAACAATTTTTAAAACTTAAATTCAAAAAATTTTTCATAATAAAAATAAAATGTTAATACTTTCCAACTTGTTTTTAATAGAGATAAACAAGTTGTTTAGCAATTCTTCCATAATTTTCTTTAAAAAATTTTTTTTCATGAGGAAAAACTTCA